TTGCTGTAAGTGCAAGTAAGACTCGTACAATTGTAAGCTTTACAATTGAGCTAAATGTTTCATCATTGTTTAGTCCCACATTATTTATATAATTCTTAAGCTACTAAACAAGCCTTGTGTCTTGTAATTGATCCATATGTGCGTTGATTTATCTTATAAACTAATTTACAGGAAATAGGCTTTACATCTCTTGGCTTTGGCACGAGTTCCAAAGTCTAATTTCATTATAATGCAATAACTTCCTCTTCCATAGCTTTATTCCACTCTATATTCTAAGATGTTTCCTTAAATGTCTTTGATTTATTTTGCATATGTTTAGGAACATTGACATATTTGGAATTTGACTTTCTAGTTCTTATTAATCTTCTGAGTGAAATTGACAATTATGTTTCTGCATACTCATTTTCTTTATTTGCTCGTCACATGCACCAATTTTTTAAGGACTTTGAGCTATGCCTTCTTTGACATCACAACTATTATTTGCATCTTTAGTTTCTCCTAAGCTTGGCTGGATCTGCATAGATTGCAGCTCATATTTGAAAGCATTTGAATATGGTAATATCTCCTTTTTTTAGGACCACCATGAGGATATTTCATCAAATACCACATTTCAAGATATTTACAAGTTCATAGTTGTAAGGTCACAATATTTTCACCCTTTTTGTTGTTGTCATATCCTATAAATATATACCTAATAACTTTCTTATTGATCCTATTATATAAATGATCAAATACAAATATATGATATACACGTCCAAAAACTTGAAAAAAACTAACTATAGGTTTCATGTTCCATAACTTTTCAAAAGGTAAAAGAAAACAAAAGCTTTTTTTAGGAAGTCTATTGATTACAAAAGTTATGTCTTAATTGGTTCTACTCAAAATTATCCCAGCAGATTTTTCACATGAAGGGTACTATGATAAAATTCTTCTAAGTGTATGTTCTTCCTTTCTACTACACCATTTTGTTGCGAAGTGCCTGAACATGTGAATTGATGACACATTTGACACTTCTTAAGGAAATTAGAGAACTCGTGTGAGGTATACTCTCATGTCGGTACATAAACAATGAACTTTTTTACCAACCTCTACTTCTGCTATCTTTTTAAACTTTTTAAAGTTTAGAAGTATTTTAGATTTTTTGTTAAGATAATAAACCCACATATACCTAGAAAAATCATAATAAAAGTCACCATGTACTTCATCACACCAAGAAAGATTTGTTTGATAGGTCCAAACACATCAAAATGAATTAAACTGACTTTTTTGTTTTAAATTTGTACCTTTCATACGGTAACTGATGTGTTTTTTATACTAACATCCTACGTAGATTATGTATGTTCTTAATTCAAGTTAAGAAAGTCTCTTCAGCATTGACTTTTTCATCATCACATTTAGCTTAGAATAGCTAACGTGACTTAATCGCATGTGCCATAAATATGTTGTCTCATTCTTCCTCATCTTGTTAATATATGTTGTTTCAGCATACAACACATAAACTAATTATAATATTCGTTCTTTCATCGTTGACTCTTCTATAATCTTAAGGTTACAATATACATTCACATCTTGTGGGCCAAACAAAACAAAATGGCCTGAGGAGGTTAACTATGCTATATAAAGAAGATTTTTCTTCATACTTGGAATATGGTAGACATTTTAAAGTGGCACATTTATGGTGTAACTAATGTGAGTTACCAATAACTTTGAGCTATTTGTTGTCACCACCACGCAACTTCCTTTGTACTCTAACAAATTTTGCAGTTTTTCCTTATTACTAGTCATATGATTTGAGCAGCTTAAATTAAAGATCAAATATTTCTCATAGTCAATTTGATTAGATGTTGTTGTTGTACGAGCTAGCTCCTCTTCTTTTGCAGCAAAAAATGCCTCAGCATCCCATTTCTCTTCACTTTTGGAAGTAGTAGTGTTACTCTCCATGGACTTTTTCTTTGATTGACAAACTTTTGTCGAGTGACCTTTCTTCCCATAATTGTAGTACTTCCCTTTAATTTTTTTTTTCCATTGCCATAGTACTTTGAAGCTCCCTCTGTACGAGCATTCCCTTCACTCTGATGAAGTTTTGCTTGTCCTTATTTCTTTTAAATTTATCGACGACATACTGCTTAGAATTTTATCTATTTTTGTTCCCTTTATGCGAGCATCCCTTTCGCTCTGATGAAGTTTTGTTTGTCTTCATTTCTTTTAGATTTATCAATGACATACTGCTTAGAATTCTATCTGGTTTTGTTGGCATAGAGCACTATCTCTTCACCCTTTTACAGAACTCCTCTCATTTGTTAGATAAGGCTTCTTGACTCACAATCAAATTTTTGAGCTCAATAAATGATGGTTGATTTTTTCATCCATGTATTACAATGACAAAGCCTTTATATTCGAGTCTTAAATCATAAATAATTATTCTCTTCATCCTGATTTTCTCAATTGGAGGTTGTGGGTCCAACTTCAAAATTTGCAGCATAATGACTTCATTTTGTGGAAGTAGTGAGTAACGATGATGTTGTGTTGTGTTGCTTATAGTATCTCGTTCTCGAGAAGTTGAAGTCTTGTGCCGTTCTTCTTTAAAAATAGTTTGACCGAATGTATCCTAAGCTTCTTGGGGGGTTTTGGTATCCCAGATGTACATGTACAGTAATTTATGTTGCAAAACAAGAAGTGAAGTTATGCAGGAATGAAATCATTTGTTGCAAATGGGTTTTCTTAGATATGCATACAATCATTGTAAATAAAAGTCATATTCTTTGCCACTAACTTCTAAACTAATCAAATCATATTTTTTTATTATCTGGTAGTAAATTTTCTATTAAACAAGTTATATTTTATGTTATTAACTTTTCTAGTAATTAAGACATGTTCTCTTATTATTTATTACTAATTTTTTCACTAAAGGGGTCTTCAACAAATCTATAAAGAGTAGGAAATTAAAACCGAATGTTTAAGATTAGCTAAAATAGCAGAGAAATTTGGTAAACAATAAACTCAATCAAATAAAAATCATATGTTGGCTAGTATTATAACTTTAACATATAATTTTAAAATAATACAGAAATTACTTTAATAATTTTATATAAGAAAAATGTGCATGCGTAGGATAAACCTAGGCTATAAATAACGTTTCTGTAAAATAAGTATAAATACAAAAATATAATAAATAAAATAAACCTTTCGTTTTGTTATTTCTATTTACTTTTCTTTATTAAAAATAATAAATAAAAAAATTAAAGAAAATTGATAATTAACATGTGCAGGTACTCATTGGGGACATGGGAACTGGAAAAACAAGTTTGGTATTGAGATTTGTGAAAGGCCAATTTTTCGATTTCCAGGTCTAACTTTCGTTACATATTATTATATGTGTACATATATTGTAAAAGGCGTAACTAAATGTTAATTAATTAAGTGTAATTTATTTATTTAGGAATCGACTATCGGAGCAGCGTTCTTCACACAGGTGGTGTCGGTGAGTGATGGAACCATAAAGTTTGATATTTGGGACACAGCAGGACAAGAAAGATACCACAGCTTGGCTCCCATGTATTATCGTGGTGCTGCTGCAGCTGTTGTTGTCTATGATATCACAGCCAAGGTAACCTTATTATTTTTTTAATAAAATATATATATATATATATATTTTTACTTATAAATTAAATAAATAATAAAAACTTGATTAATTAGCATAATTACTTCTTTAATCTTAAGTTGACATCACATTTTGTTCATTAGGACTCATTTGACCGAGCTAAGAAATGGGTTCTAGAGTTGCAAAGACAAGGTAATTAATTATTACTTTTTTTAAATTAAAAAAAAAAAAATCAATCCTTTAATTTAGGTTATCCTGTGTTTTTTTTTTTTCCATTTTTATTTGTATTTATTTCATAAGAGCAAATTTAATAGATTTTTATGAAATAAAACTCTATACTTTTATCAAAAGTTATTAAGTTATATTTCGTATTACAAAAACTTACATTTGATTGTGGAATCAATTAACTGTTTCAGGAAATCCAAATTTGATAATGTTTTTGGTGGGTAACAAGGTTGACTTGGAAGACAAGAGAGAAGTTTCTTCTGAGGTAACACTAAAATCCGCTTATATTATTGTATTAAAAGTTAGAATTAAACTCTGCATTACATGTATGTATGTCTCCGCATTGATATTTCTTTTCCAACAAAAAAAAAAAAAAAAATGCAGGATGGCGAGGAATATGCAAAAGAAAATGGGTTGACTTTTCTTGAAACATCGGCAAAGTCTGCTCACAATGTCAACGAACTCTTCTATGAAATAGGTACATTATATATTTTCTTAAAACAAAAATTAAAATGTTTAAGTTAGAAATATATTTTATATAATACGATCGGTCAGATTTCAGTACTCCATTTCTCTTTATTTGCTTTACATTATTCTTTTTTAATCCTTTGTCAGCAAAGAGAGTGGTAAAAGCTATGCCTTCTCGGCCCTCGGGAATGAAATTGCATCCATCACGGGAACAAAGAGGAGGATTTTGTTGCTCCTGATGTGATCTTCCGAATTTATTATCATCCTTTTTCCACCTTCAACCCACGAAAATACTTACGAACATTATTTAATTACTTAAAATTCAGAGGAATCTGCCCTCTTGATCACTTTGTGAACTGAATATATATATATATATATATGTGTGTGTGTGTGGGTAATTAAAACAACGTCCTTGCTCCTTCCTTCTTTTGAAATTTTAGAACTAACGCATTTCTGTATAAGCTCTAAATTTTTTTCCTACATTTTCTGGATTTGTCTTCTGTAACCAGGTTTTGCTCTGCGGACGCCATAGATAATGTTCTGCCAGAAGAAAACAATGAAAAGAATTTGTCGAATTATATTTGTTTTTACGTTTAATTCCTCTCATTTTTCTGGATTTCAAAATAAAATTTGTGAAATTTTCAATCCTTGGATTCTTTTCCGGCTTTAATAATTATAATCTACGAAAGCTACTCCCTTTTGAAACAACATAAAACTCTTTATTTTGCAAATTTAGTGCAATTAAAATAATTTTATCATTTTAAGAAGTGCAGAATAATTTTTCAAAAAAAAATCTATATATATATATATATATTTTTTTTTTTTTCTTTTCTCTTATAAATAATCTCGTTTGCAAACACAATTAGTTCTAATTTTATCCAATTATAAAAGAAATTTCTAGAAAACATAAGCTACATAAAATTCATATGCTGGATAAACAAGATACAATAAAGATTCAACTTTCGTGATGCATTCATTTGTTCATTTCAACTAGTGCACTATGCACATGCTTGATTTTGCGAAGGTTATATCGATTAAGCCTAAGGAAATTGCTCTAAGAAAGCACGGGTTACTGCATTAGGCAAAAACAAATAAAATATATATTGTAACGTCCACTAATTTTATAATAATAATTATTATTATTATTATTTTTTATTTATTTTATTTAATTTATTTTATAATTTTTGAATTTTAATTGATTTATTTAATTTAATTTAATTTAATTTAATAAAAATAAAATAATAATAATGATAAAATTGGGTAAAAATATTATTTGGATTTAATTGAAATTGATTTTGGGAAAAATGGGTGAAAATTTAGATTCTGGGGGTATTTTTGAAAAGAAAATCGGAAACCGGGAGTCAAAACGCAATTTAGAAAAATTACACCCCGTCAGCGCCACGTCAGCAGCCACGTCAGCGGCCCAGTCAGCAGTCCTGGCCAACCAGGACCTGTCGCGTGGCAAGACCACGTCGACCCATGAACGGGCCACGTGGACGATCCGCGTGCGCGCGATCGG